ATTACTTAAATAAAAGGAGTAAAAAATACTAATTGCTTGCGTCAGTTTTTATCTCGAATTAGGGTTGATTACGCTTTAATACCACGCCGTTGAGGTTTACTGAAGCAAGCTGTCTGTCGCCACAGTCGTATCTGCCTATCTCTTGCTCTCTTGGCCGTTTTCCTGCAGTTATGGCCTCTAGAGGGCTCTGTTGCGGGACACAGCCAGGCTGGTCATGCTGCTGTTGCTGCTGCTGTTGGTTGTGACTGCTGTTGCTGGCTGCTGCGTGGCTGATGGTGTCAGGAATACCTCTAGTGGAAACTTTGGATGCAAAACACAGAAATTCATCATTACACAGCCAGAAATCTCTAAAAAGGTTGCCCTACACAAGCCTAATGAAATTATAGATTCGTTTGTAATACTGGCTACAGTGAAAGTTAAGTCCAATCCCACAGTACAACAGCACTTCAGCTGGCTGCGCAACCTCCTGGTGTTCGACTGGTGGTGACTGACCTGCACTATGACCTCCTTCCTCCTCCACGTGGGGTGATGATAATTGCTGCGAATGCCGGAGCCTGGGTTAGCGCACGGTGCCTGCGAGGTGTTGGGCTTCATAGTGGGACCTAGAAAGGTACGCGGTTTTATCATTTCAAAGTATTGCATAAACTACGATAATACACAAAATAAATCCTTTTATGTGTCGCATTTATTTGCAACTCAAGTGCAAATGCCTACAACAAGTTAATAAATAAAAATTTTAAGTTTACGTTTTGAGTATTTGTAAAATCTCACCTAATGGAGTTATATATAAGTTATGGGAACGATTATTTTCACAGTCGAGTGGCATGAGCTGTACTTACCAGTTATCTGCCTCTTCGTGGAATTCAACAGACGACGGTGTGGCATCACCGTTGCAGTAGCGTCTGCTGACTGCTGATTGCCATTGGTCGATACTGCAGTGGCGTGGCTGCCTTGGAGGAGCCCGATGACACAGACGTCACTGCTGCGGCATGCTTTTGGCAGCAGCTGGCGTCGCGATTGGCTTTTATTAGCAGTTGGAGGTTCTTGAGACGAGCTGAAAATGAGATGTCATAAGAGAAAATGCCCAAAAGGATCAGGACAAGACGCGAGTTGGAAACCAACATTGCAAACGTGCATGTACACATTCACTAGGAAACACGAATAGGACGCAAAACCTCGTAAAAAAGACAATAACGAGTCTACAGGGCGAACTGTGCAAAGCGAGTCGACGGTTAGGCCACAATTAAAACAAGTGCCGCGGAGGACAGCGCTCATCTACGTCTACTGCGGTGACTCTGTGGTGGAGTGGTGGGATTCTAGTAACACCTGTTAGTCCCAAATGTGTTCACATACACGCCGAAACAGTGGAATCACAGGGATGGTATCAGAACCTTCTCAAAGGAATGATTCGTTGGGATCGTTATGAAAGTTGCACGAGATGGCGCGTACGTTTAATGTCTTCAGATTAAAGATGGAAGCTCTCATCGTACGTAGTAGCAACAACTATATTGCAAGACAGAATAGGTAAGCACTCATCACATTACCTACGCAAGCCTACAGGCTGCAAATTGGCAATAGAGAGCTGGCCACCTGTAACAATTAACGCAGGAAAAACTGCACCAACACATGCACTGGCAGCAGCCACTGGCAGTGGCATACGTATCATGTAACATAACTGACAGTACAGAATGCATAGAAATTATACGATTTAAGGAACATACACCTTCTTAACCAAATTTAGCTTTTGAAATTCACTGTGACATTGTAGCCTCACTACATCAGGCATGTATAGATTCTACTAGCAAACCGGCAGTCAATTCTTTCTAACAGACAGTCAACAAATCAAGTTTAACCTCTCTTGAGGGTCAAAAGGTTATCTGACACTTACTCTTCGCATGTCAGCAAAAAGTAGATTTCATAGTCTTTCAATAATGCATAAAAATGGCTAGGTCACGCCTGAAACAAAAAAGTTTTTCAATCGCTCCGTCAGACCATGTCTCAGAAAATGTCTAAAATCTGCCCTGTGCCATTGACCTTTACCTGTGACCTCCAATTTCGGCACAGTGATGGCTTTTCGCTACCATGATGCTATAACCAACTATCACGAGCCTAGGTCGAGCCATTTAGATTTGTGCCGCAATTCTGCATTTCTCCTATACCTTAAGTTAAGGAGTGAATGTTCCCCCTTCTTTTACACCTCTTGACCTTTGACCTTTGACCCCAGCGTTCGACATTCCAACTCGTTTTTGACGATCCCCCCCAATGTGCCGAATATCGTGACGTACGTCGAGCGGTTAAGATTTGTGCAACTGTTGACGGACGCACGGACGGACGGACGGACGATCAAGCGATTCTACAAGCTGCATCTGACTATGTCAGATGAGCTAAAAATCATTGTTTGCCCTCACCCGACCCAGGCTGAAAAGTTTGGGTAGGTAAGTCGGCTTTTTTTTTAGGACGGGGGTCTTTTTACAAATTCAGCATGGTGTCTACATGCTCGGGTGTGCTTGTGTGGAGATACCTTTTATGTTGAATGTTTGTTTTGCTTGGTACATATAATGTATTGCCTACAGATTTATATAATGTATACCACTTGTTGTGATACAATTAGTGATACAATTTGTTTAAAAAAAAAGAGAAAAAAAGATGAATACATTTTTTTTTAGACGGCCCTTTTTGTCGGGTCGGTCGGGTGAGGGCAAACACACAGTATTTTTATTAAGACCCTACCTGGTCCTATCGTTGGTGCTGGTGCTCGCCGACGGCTTGCTGCTCTGCTGCTGCGACAGCTGCTTCTGCCGCGTCTCCAGCCGCCTGTTCAGCTGCTCTACATTAGCGCGAGTTGCAGGCCTCCTGGCGCGCTCGCGTTCCTCGCCTCCTGGCTCGGTCAGCTCCTGCGTCAGCTTCGGCCAGCCGGCCCTCGTACTCGCCTGGCGGCGGTTAGCTTGGACTCGTGTCCTCGCTGGCGGTCCGAAAGCTGCTTCAGTCGTCGATCTCGGAGGCAATCTTGTCGCGATTCGACGAGATCTAATGCCGCACATAATGTTTTTCAAATGGTAGTCATGCAATTCACGGTGCACATTAAAAGCAGTCAGGCAGTCCATCATAAATACAAAACATTTTCACAACGGGTAAGTAGAATGTACACAAGGTTAGTTGAAACACAAAGTCACATGAAATTTTTTATTCTCGCCTAATAATAATCCAGAATAAATTTTTAGTGAATGCTAACAGTGTGTGCAGTCTGCAGTGTTTATATTGCAAGATTCTACCTTCGTCGAAGCACCAGAAATATTATGGTCAACGAGACAACAAAATCTGCAACAACGTCCGTTTGACAGACACAAATTTCAAGCTCAGCACTAATTATGCGCAAGCAAAGCTAAGCTGTTATATATTATACAGTGTAAGCTATTACGTACTGCGCTTGCATCGTACGCTCGCTTCTCACCTGTAGAATCCTCTGCTTGGCCTGCTGCAGCACCTTCTTAATGCGGCTCGGTCTCGCCCAACTGTGTCTTCAGCTTGCGCTCTCGGCTTGCGAGCTGTGCGATCTCGTCTGTCAGCCGCTGCGCCTCGTCGGCGAGAGCGCGCCGCTCCGCGTCGTGCGCCGCCGCCGCGCCTCCAGCTCTGCACGCGAGCCTCGAGCCTCTGCTGGCTCCTGGGCGCGCCGGCGCGCGCTCCTCCGCGCCGCGAGCCGCCCGCCACCTGCGACACGTAGTTCTCGTACTCAAGCTTCAGCTCGTCGAACTGCGTCTTGTACTTGCGGCCGATCTTGCGCACCTGGTTCAGCTGCTTCAGCTCGCTCTGGATCTTCTGGTTCTTGTCGGCGACCTCGCCGCGCAGCGCCGCCACCTCCTGCGCCAGCTTCGCGACGCGCGCGTTGGCGGCGGCGAGCTGCTTGCGCAGCGTGCCGGCCTCCTCGCTCTGCCTGCTCGCCACCTCCTGGCTCTGGCGGCTGTGCTCCGAGCGCGACGCGGCCAGCTGCTTCTCGGCGGCGGCGAGCGACGCCTGCAGCCGCGCGACGTCGGCGGTCAGCGCGGCCGCCTGCGCGTCGACCTGCTCGCGCTCCTGCTTGTGCTTGCCGCTCTGCTCCTGGATGAGCGCGAGGAACTGTTTGCGTTGCTTCTCCTTCTCGTCGACGAGCTTCCTGTACTCCTCGGCGTCGACCTGGCTGCTGCGCTCGAGCAGCTGGTTCGTGCGCGTCTCCCAGCGCTTCACCTCGTCGCGCAGCGCCGCGCTCTCCGTCTGCAGCGCGTCGCGCAGCGTCCGCGCCTCCCACAGCGACTTCTTGACGGGCAGCAGCTCGGCCTCGAGGCGCGCAGCGCGGCTCTGCTGCTCCTGCGCCTGCATCGTGGCACGCTCCTTCTCGTCGCGCAGCAGCTTGTTGCTGTCGACGAGCACGTTCAGGTGTTCGACCTTCTCCATGAGTGCGGCGTGCTCGCCGACCGTGCGCGCGCTCCGCTCGCCGCGACGCCGCTCCTCAGCGATGCTCGCCTGCAGCTCCTGCGTCTGCCGCTCGAGCTGCGCGACGCGCACCTTCTGGCGCGCGGCGTCAGCGCGCGCCACCTCGTGCTGTGTCGTCGCAATCTCCTTCTCGCGGCGCAGGTAGCGCAGGATCTCGAGCAGCTGCTCCGACGACTTCTGGCCGTCGTCGCCGATCGACATGTCGAGCGTGTCGGACAGCGACGTGTCGGCGCTCCCGCCGCGCGCCCGTACCGCGAGCATCTGCGTGGACATCGTCTCCATCTGCGCGTGCAGCACCTCGTTGTGCTGCTGCAGCTCGCCGCTGCGCGTCTCCAACTGCGCGCACTCGCTCTTCAGCGCGCGCTCGCGCTCCTCCCACGACGCCTGCTTGCTGCTCAGCGTCTCGTCGGCCTTGGCGGCTGCGTCCTCGGCGGTGCGGGCACGCGTCATCACCCCGTCGAGCTGCTCGCGCACCGTCGTCAGGCTCTGCACGTCCGCGGCGTGCAGCACAAGCTCGCGCTCGTACTTCACCTGCGCGTCGGCGGCGACGCCCGCCTGCGCGGTGAGGTCGTCGCGCGCGGCCCCCTCGCGCGCCGCCGCGTCCTTCTGCTGAGCGAGCGTCTCGGCGAGCTCGTTCTGCGCGGCGACGAGCTGACGCCGCAGCGTGCCGCCCTGCGTCGCGTTCTGCTCGAGCAGGCACGCGTTCTCCTGCGCGGCGGCATCGTGCTGCCGCTGCGTCGCCGCGAGCCGCTGCGCGAGGTCGTCGCTCGCGCGCCGCGCCTCGGCGACACGCGACTCGCACACCGCCTGCAGCGTGCGGCTCGCCTCGTTCTGCTCGGCGAGGCTTCGCTCGACGCTGTCGGCGATGGCGCGGTACTGATCGGCGCTGCGAGTCGCCTGCTCCAGCTGCGCGCGCACGCCCCTCGCCTCCTGCTGCGCCGCCGCCAGCTGCGCGTGACACTCTTCCAGCTCCTCCTTGGCGGCCGATCTCGCCGGCTCAGGTTTCTCGGCTGCCGACAGCCGGCTCTCCGCTGCGGCCAGCTTGACCTCGGCGTCGCACAGGTCGCTCTTGAGGCTCGCGACGCGCTCGGTGTCGCCGCTGCGGTCCTCGCGCGTCTTCTGGTGCGCGCGCAGCTCGCTCTCGAGCTGCGCCCTCAGCTCTCTCACCTGGCTGTCCCAGCCCTTGGCGGCGGCGCGGCCGTGCGCGACCTCGGCGTCGTGCTTGCGGCGCAGCAGCGCGCACTCGCGCTCAAGGTTCTCCACCTGGTTCGTCAGCCGGCGCTGCGTCTCCTGCTCTGAGCGCTCGAGGTTGTTCTGGAGCGTCTGCAGGTTGGCAAGCAGCACGCTCTGTCCTCGCTGTTCGCGCGCAACCGCGTCTCGCTCCGTCACGAGCCGCGCTTCGACCGACTTGAGGATGTCTCGCTCGGCCTTGAAGTTTTCGGCGTCAGTCTCGGCGCGTGCGAGCTTCTCCTGCAGCTTGGTCACCTCCTGCGTCAGCGTGCTGATGTTCTGCTGGTAGAGCATCACGTTCGCCGTGAACTTGACGTTCTTCTCGCGCAGCGCGGCTATCTCCCTCTTGTAGTTCTCGACGTTCGACTGGAGGATCTTGTAGCGCTCCTGCGTAAACTCAAACTGCGAGCTGAGCTGCGCGTTCTGGATCTGCAACTCGGACAGACTGACGCGCAGCTTGTCCTGCTGTGACATCAGCAGGTTAGTATTCTCAGCCTTCTCGACCTTGTACGTGTCAAACTCGCGCTGCATCTGAGACAGCGCTGCCTTCGTTTCACCCAACTCCTTATCCTGACCGTGAGGAACGCTAGGAGTGGACGTAATCATGGACCCGTTCTCCGACGGTGCGACACTCGTGTCGGCCAGAAGGACCCGGTACATGTCTCTCTGCCTGACAATCGACTCGACCATGTCCGCTTGCCTCTGCCGCGCGGCCCTCAGCTCCTCGAGATCTTTCGTGGCGGCGTTGAGCTGCTCCTGCAGCTCCTGCGTCTTACTGTCGGTAAGCCTCTTCTCCTCGGCCTCCTGCTTCTCGCTGAGCTCGCGCACGACGGCCAGCAGCTGCTGGTTCTGCTCCTGCAGCTCTCCGATGCTGCGGAACGTCACCAGCCGCTCGCTGATCAGCTGTGAGCTGCTCGAGATCTCTGCGTCGCAGATGTCCGACTCGTTGCGGACGGACACGCGGCCGCCGCGAGCTTCCTCGACCTCCTTCAGCAGCAGCTGCACCTGCTGGCCAAGGTCGGCCACCTGCTGGCGCATGCGCGCGCTGTCGCGCTCCAGCTGGCCGGACGTGCGTCGCGCGTCGATCGCCTGGCAGCGCAGCGCGTCGATCTCCTGCAGCGCGCACTCGTGCTGCCGCGTCATGTCGGCGATCGTGCGCAGCGAGTTCTCGTAGCCCTCGCGCCAGCGCTTCACGATCGGCGCCTTCTCCTCGATCTCCTGCAGGATCTGCTCGAGGTACTGGTTCAGTCGCTTGTTCTCGAGCCGCTCGAGCTCGAGCGCGCTGCTCGTCTGCACGTACTCGTTGTAGATCTGCGTCAGCGTCATGCCCGACTTGAGCAGCTTGCTGGTCGTGGCCGCCGTCGGCAACAGCTCCTCGAGTTGCTCGGACGTCATCGAGGCGTGGCCGTGCGGCCTGGCCGCCGACAGCAGGTCGTTGGCGTTCTCCAGCTCCTTGGCGAGCGCGTCCAGCTTGCCGTTGCCGTCGTCGACGCTCGCCTGCAGCGCGCGCGTGTCCTCGCCGTACTTCTGCTCGAGCTGCGTGTGCGTGACGGCGGCCTGCTTGAGCAGCTTCTGCAGCTCGTGCACGGCCGTCATCAGCTCGAGCACCTTGCCCTCCGCCTCCTCGGACGAGTTGTGGTAAAGGCCGGCGAGCTTCGTCTGAGCGTGCAGCTCCGCCTGGAACTGCTCCTCGCTCTTTATGTGCGTCGTGTGGCTCTCCTTCAGCTTGTCGATGAGCTGTTCGAGCTTCTGCTCCTGCTCCCGGTTGGTGTTTGCGAGCAGGTCGACGTTCTCCTGCAGGCCCACGGCTTCCTCCGACTTTCCGTCCAGCTGCATCTGCAGCTGCAGCACCTTGCCGGATGTCTCCTGCCTCAGGGAATACAGCTCCTTCTCCTTGCGGTTACCGTCTGCATTGAGCCACGATACCTGCTGCTCCAGCAACTTCTTCTCCTGCGCCCACCGCTCCTCGCTGAACTTGTTACTGATCGCTTGGCTGTTAATCTCATCGAGCTTAGCCTGAGCTTCGCACCTCCGCTGGTTAGCAGTCGTCAACTTGTTGGACATCTGCTTCCATTCTTCATTCAGTCTGTCGATCTCGCGGTTCTTTCTCTCCAGCTGCTCTGACAACTCCCTCTTCTCAGCCTCCAGAGACTCATTGCAACGAGACAATCTCAGCTGAGTCGATAGATTGTCATGCTCAGAGGTTGCCAGTTCTTTCGCCTTGGAGCTGGCCTGGGTGAACTGCTCTTCTAGGTCTTTCACTTTACATTTTAACTTCGTGCATTCGGCATCTTCGTTCTCCAGTTGCGATTTTGTGGTCAAGAATTTCTTCTCAAGGTCAAGATACTGTTGTTCCTCATTTGCCAAGTGGAGTGCTGCACTGGCCTTCATGCATTTTGTCTCACTTTGAACTACTTCAATATGCATGCAAAGCTTTTCTTTGATGGATTCTGGAATTTTATTCAGCTCTTCCACATCTAGAAAGCTTGACAATAAATCTATATTCTCCATATTGTCAACTTTTGCAACCACCTGCAATTAAAGATAAACAATAGTTGCGTTGAGCAAATTAAAATTTCAAGATTGTTTAAACTGAAATGTGAACTTTCAAAGAGTAAAAGTACCTTTGAATATGGCAAATAGTAACAGCAATTCGACTTCTACCAAATCAAATCCTAACTGCCTTCATTATAGTTTATACTGAAGATTCTGTCATAGGTACACAGTGAGCAGGGACACACTTCTGGCTACTTCATCCTTACTCAGTTAAAGATGCCTTCCCACGCACATTTTTGTGACAAACCACCGTAAAAACGTAAGTAAATAACTCACTACACTTTAACTGAACGTTAGCTTTGAAAATAAAACTGTAAAAACATGTATCAAGCCTATATTCCCTCAACGAAAAAACAACTCGAAAAACGCGTTTCGCCACGGTTCTGTATCATGGCGGCAAGAGTCGACGCAGGTCATGCAACCAGCACAGCTATAGATATCATATATAACACATGTGTTATATGATATCTATGAGCATACATGCAGCCTTCATGACCTTCAGCGCTTGGCAACACTGCATGGCAACAAAAGACTCGTCACAACATTGACACAAAGCAGCAAAAGTAAACGCTGTTTGAAACATTCGACCCAAGTCACCCAACACTTTCACTTTGTAGTCTAAAAGCTTTGAATGAACGTATTCCCGAGCAATTTTTTTTACCTATCACACATATATAGACAAGTACAAACGTGCAATGTTAAAATAATTCATTTTTGCCTAATTTTATGTTTGCTGCTTGAAACTTGGGTTTAAGGATAGAGAACATGGGTCCCAATAACACCAATGTCATTTACATCAATATAAATATAATATTATATCAATATAATAGGTTAGGGTTATGGTTAGGGTTAGGATTAGGGTAAGGGTTAGGGTTAGAATTAGGGATAGGGTTAGGGTTAGGCACATTGGTTTTATTGGGACCAATGTTCTCTATACTTGGGCCGAAACTTCAAGGGAAGACACCTTTAAAAGTTTAATGACTAATACGGATAATTGGAATTTATGCCGAGCCAAATTAGACTGAGGTGGTTGTCAATGCCAGTTATGTATTACTGGAGTGCAGTGAAGTGTAGATGGGCCGCGCCTAGCTCTAGTACTATAGCCCGCGTTCGATTAAATGCCACAGGGCTATAGTACATTGTCGGCTGGAAATACCAACTGCAACCTGTTACCACCTGTCCC